CCACCCCCACGCCTCCCAGGTTCTGGAGCCCAGGGCCCTTCTATGCCCCAAGAAGTCTGTGCCTACCCCTCGGCCTGGGAATAGCTTGTCCCTGACTCAGCAGGGGACAGAGATAGTGCAAGCAGGCACTGCTCTTCCTTCGGTCCTGCTCAGGAATCCAGGGTACCCTACTTCTGAGCATGGGTCCCCGCTGATACCTAGAGCTGAGGCCCTGGTCACCAGGGCCAAGGGGAGCAGCCAGGCCTGTGTGACTGCAGACTCAGGTAAACAGGCAATGACGATCCCTGGGGTCACCTGTGCCAGTCACATGTCATTCTGCAGATCCTCTGTCTGTGCAGAATGGCCAACAGAAGCCTCTGTGGAGGGTTGTACCTGAGGGAGGCTGGGGAAAGGAGCCTTGTGCAGGAGCTCTGTGGGGTCTCCAGAGAAGAGGATTCCCTCCCCAGCCCCACTCCCCAAGTCAGAAACCTAGATCCCAGGGAGGCCCTGCCTGGCAAGGCAGTCAGTCCACCTTTGCTTCAACACCCTCAGAGCACCAGACCCGCACCCCCAGAGTGGACAGAGCTCCAAGAGGACAGCTCCAGGTCAGGCCTGGGCTCCAGAGCAGACAGAAATGGTCAAACTCAGCACCACTCTCCAAGTTCCTTCTCTCTGGGCTCTGCTCCCTGATCTTTAAAATGAGAATAAGAAATCAGCCCTCACATGATTCTGAGTAGCAAAGCAAATGAAAGCAAACAGCCCAGCATGGCCCAAGGCAAGGGGTAAACAGCCAACATCTATTATCAGTACTTCCCTAAAGGGAGCTACTGGTTTTGGAGATCCTGGTGCCAAGGCAAGGCTTGGGGTGAAGAAGGACCCAGGCTGAGAAGAGGACAAGGCTGCGCTGTGGGAGCACAGGGGCCAGAGGGCAGGGTCAGGAAAGGCTTGCAGAGAGGAGGAAAGGGAGAGGGGGCATGGCATGGTACCAGGCCTGGGCTCAACTGCTAACTGTGGGTCCTGAGAGCATCCACCTGGCTGCACCTCCTGAGAGGCACCTGCTCCATTCATTGCCCTCTGGGACCTCACTCTGCTGGGTTCCCTCTCTGGCTTCACCTGCTACCAGCATTTCCCCAAGGAGGGAAAGCTGTCAAGTCAGCCACCTACATACAACTGAGCAGGAAGCAGCCAACCAGCCCTGGGCAGATTGCAGCACAGACTCCTAGGAAACCAGGGACTCACAGATGGGACCCCAGCCCAGGAGGTCCTGTGGGAAGGCCGAAGGGAAGGCCTTCACCAAACACCCACCAGGTCTGCTGAATCAGCCCTGGGGCACAGACCTGGAAGCTTGGGGCTGCTGGCAGAGCCTGGGGACTACAGTTACCACCAGCAGGAAAGAAGCAGGGGGCCACACAGGACTGGCCCTTCCTAGGCCCCAGGCTACTTGTTCATTGAGACCAATCAGGCCTGTTGGATTCACTTCTTCCCCAGGCCTTCCTTGGGTCACTTTCTACTCCCTCCATGTCACCTGGGGGTTAAGTGTGGCCTTGGGACCACCTCTACCCGGCTGAGGAATCCACAGTGGGAGGCAAGCACCTATTCTAGGACCCTTCAGATATCTGGCTAAGCAGGCAGGTGCCCAGAGCCCTTGGAGATGGAGCCCAAGTCACCCATCACCAGTCATTCCACATCACCTGCCCCCTGAGCACAGTGTCTCATCTAATCCTTACAGTGTCTCTGGAAGGAAGGAATGGCTTTGGTGTGAAACCTGGTGTATTTGATCCAGGAGTGCATGGAGTAGATTTCAACACAGGTCTCAAAGTCTCTTAGATTACCCCCCACCCCGTATGTCATTCTGCGGGAGAGGGAAGGCAGGGAAGGCTTCCTGAAGAGTGGGAGTAAAGGCCTGGCCAGAGATCAGAATCCTCACCTCTACTCCCAGACAACAAGAAATGACAGGAAACCAAGGCCTAGGGACCAGGTGCCTACGTGACCCAGGCCCACAGCCAGGAATCCCACCAGACTTCCCCCGGCTGGGCCGGTCCCGGGTTCCCAGCCCCTTCCTCCACTTTGAAGGTCCTCTGAGCTGGGAAGTAAAGCCCCACAAGCTTTTCCCTTCCCCATCCTACCAGCTCCATCTGTGTGTCCAAAGAGCCAAGTTCTACTCACTATGGGTTAGTATCAAGACTGAGAAGGCCTCAGTTTGAGTTCCAGGTCCAATCCCAAGCAGCTGTGTGACTCTGGGGGGGCTAAGTCACCTCTGCACTCAGCTTTTTACATAACACAGGGTCCACACCACCTACGTTCAAACGGCAAATGCTGAGGTAATGACATCAGCTCCCATCTGTCAAGCCCTACCTCAGCTCTTACCTCCAGGAAGGCTTTCTTGGCCTCCTCAACACAAAAGCTCCTTCCTGCCAGCCTCTGTCAGCCTCTTGGTATTCTGGCCCCTTTGGAAGCTGGAACTCATTTTGCCTCGCAGAGATATTGTTTATAAATTCCAGCCTCTATTTTGCAGCCCAGAGAGGTGCAGAGGAAAGAAGCTCAGGCCCTCTTTGCAGAGTAAGGCGCTGAGGGAGGTGGTCAGGCAGAGACCTATGGGGTCTGCAGACTCCAGGGGAGTCAGTGACACTCAGCCTGGGCAGGTGGCCCCAACACAGCCACCGGAAGCGTCGTGCTGTTTCTTCAGTTTTTCTTTGTGTCTGCTTCATCACTCATTTCTGCAGGCCTCAAGGTAGGACACAGGTTCACTCCCTTGTCTTCACCAGGCCAGTGAGAAGATGCCCTACGTATATAAGTCAGGACAGGGCACAGAGGGGCAGCTGCTCTGTCTGGCAGAGCAGGAAGCAAGCACAACAAAGTCAAGCTTGGTGCAAGTGAGACTATGGAAAGCCGCCACCTTTCCCACCCCAAGCCCTGGCATCATTGGCTTTTTGTCCTTTTGTCTTCTAACTCTATCTATAACTCTATTCCAACCCTCTCAGAACCAGAGCAGGAGCCCAGATTAGCTACTACCACTCCCCTGGTCCCAACTGGTGTCACCTGGCTACTGGCTCCTTCACTCTGTCCTGCCCAGTGCCTTATAAAGATGAGAAATGACCAGGGCTGAGGATTTAGCTCAATGGCACTGTGCCTGCTTTGTAAGCACAAGGTCCTGAATTTGATCCCCAGTACCCCCCAAAGTTCTAATAGATGAGAAATGATGAGCCCAACATTTACAACTCAGCTTTCCAGCTCCAAGATCCTTCCACAGCACACTCACTCCAGAGAAGCAGAGAGTGAAGCAGTCAGTGCTCCTGAGTGGGAGGTGGGGTGGGGGCGTGCTTCCTGACCAAGTTCTGTTCTCAGCTCTGTGACCTTGGGCAAATCACTCAACCTCTCTGAGCCAGTGTCTTTATCTATAATGCAGGACGACAGGAAAAGCTTCTGCTCTGAATTTACAACCACAAGACGTACTACAAAGAGCCAAGGAGGTCAACCAGCCCAGAAGCACAGTTTCTATCCCTGCTTGTGGTCACCACGTCCCTTCTATGGGGACCAGAGGAATGGATTCCAGGCATGAGATTCATTCTGATACTTTGCCAGGCCACAGCCACACTCATAATGTCAGGGGCACTGGGAGACAATCAGGGTCACAATTAGGCTAACAATGCTGGTGGCAAGTGCTTAAATTCAGGCTCCTATTTAGCAACTCAGTAGCCATCGAGCAAGCAACTTAAGTACCTTGGTCTTTATTCTGTACAAAGCACTACTGTAAAAATTAAAGGAGTTATATATAAAATAATCACTCCCCACAGTGCAGGGCACAGTTAGTGGGCAGCATGTATGAGTCTCATTACTTCCAGGGTCATCTCTAGAATTAGTCCTTCAGTCTAGTGAGGTTTCCAGGGCAGGAATGATTGGTCCAAAGGGTCAGGTAAGGAAAATGAATGTACCGGAGCCACAGAGAGCCCACCAGGTTAGGTCTCAAAGTGAACCAGTCAGGCTGACTGGCAGTTTTAGAAAACTCAAGGACTCAAAGGACGAGTGTCTAATGTCCCCTTCCCTACTGTGCATGGTGCAGAGTTGCACACGCTGCCCACCTGCTGCTTCCTCCCTCAGACCAGTGCTCCCAGGCCGAGGCTGTACATTCTCCGGGGTGCCAGGCCCACACCCACAGCAGGCTGTATCGGTAATAAAAGGACCGCCCCGGTCTAGGTCTCTCCAAGAGCCATTTTTCTGTTCCTGGAACTACATTCATT